CCTATGGGAGGGGCCATTCACCATCTACCTGTGGCTTTTCTCCCGAGTCGGCCCTTGTTCCTTAGCTGTTCCCTTTGTCTGGCAACTCTGCGCATGTACCCACTGGGAACAGGCTCCAGCTGTTTGTCTGCCTCACTAATGTCTGCCTCGGAAGGCAGCTGATAACTGGCATACGGCTCTTTCCCCATCTCTGCCTCCGACGCAGAGCCCTCATCAGAGCCTTCCCCAGACTCCAGGACTGGCCCATGTTCCTCCCCAACCTCCTCACTGTCCGAATCTGCTGCCAGTTCCGCTGGCAGGCCACAACATATTTCATTGTTCTAGGAGAGGGATGGGTGCCAACTTTGTACAATTCTGACTAACATTTTCACCACTCTGCTCTACCCTTTCAACTTTCCACTCTGCTTCCTTTCTAGGCACAGTCGATGGATCCTGCGATCCTAAAGCTGCTGAGATCATAGGAGGCAATTATACTCTCCTGGAAGATGGAACCTCATTGATTTATGACTGTCCTCAGGGACAGTATCCCTATCCGAGACAATTCCGGTTTTGTAATGGCAGACAGTGGAGCCCCTTGACGGGCAGGGACGGCAGGACTGTCGAGCAGGCTGCGTGTCGAGGTACAGTGGGTTCATTTCTCAAAACAGAGGCCTGGTATGGCAACTTCCCTTCTTCCTCCCAGACTTTATCGCCAACCAAGTCCAGGGTTTCCCACCACAGGCCTTTATGTAACTGTATAAAAATACCCTGTGGGAGTCACTAGCAGGCTTATCAAAGTGCAAAAAGCATGTTTACTTTACTTTTATCTATTGTATTAGGCAAAGGTAAAGGTTCCCCTCACACATAAGTGCTAGTTGTTCCTGACTCTAGGGGGAAGCCGAAGAGCCAGCACTGCCCAAAGACATCTCCGTGGTCATGTGGCTGCCTTCCCACCATAGGTGGTTCCTATTTTTCTACTTGCATTTTTTTTAATGTGCTTTCGAACTGCTAGGTTGGCAGAAGCTGGGACAAGTAACGGGAGCTCACTCCGTTACGCAGCGCTAGGGATTCAAACCGCCGACCTTTCTGATCAACAAACTCAGCGTCTTAGCCGCTGAACCACCGCGTCCATTGTTTCCACCAGAGGCCTTTTTGTAACTGTATTTTTTTAAAAACCCATGGTAGTCACTAGCAGTCTTATCAAACTGCAAAATCATGTTTACTTTATTTTTATCTACTGTATTGGAAATGTTTATAAAGGCGCCTATCTGAAAAACAACTCTGGGCGGCTTACAACCAATAAAACAATATCCATCAGAATGAAACGAACCACAATAAGATTAAAACCAGGAAGCCAGCATGCAACCCTGAAGCACCCACACATCTGCTTTTAATTTTTAATTTAATGTATCGGTATTTTTAGGTGGCTCCNGAATGGAATGGAATGGAATGGAATGGAATGGAATGGAATGGAAAGGAACGGAACGGAATGGAACAGAATGGAACTAGGAACGGAATGGAACATGAAATGGAACTGAACTGAACAGAACAGAACAGAATTCTTTATTGGACAAATGTGATTGGCCACCCAAGGAATTTGTCTCCAGTGTGTAAGCTCTCATTGTACATACAAAAACCATAGATTATGTATCATAGATCATAGTTACAGTCATTAATCATAAGGTAAAAGGTTGGTAAAATGAGGACCCAGATAGTTTTTTTTGGGGGTGGGGGGAATATGCCAACTCTGTAAAACTCTTACAGAGGGCTGTAAAAGCACTGTGAAGCAGTATATAAGTCTAAGTGTCAGGCCTGCAGTCATATTCCTTTTAGGATCTTTGGCCTGCCACACTTTGTATTATTTCTTCTCTGCTGTTTCATTAGTGGGGAACAGGGAGGAGGAATATTAAGGAGCAGAATGTGTTGTCATCAAAATAAAACATTCCTTTCCAGAAGCCCAAGGTCATTCTTTGTCTCCACACCTCTGCACCTGATCGGAACTAGATGGGTGGAAATGCCAGCATGACAGAGGAAGATTGGACCATGTGATGGACTTGTGGGTGTGGGAACAAGATCATGAACTTTCAAATGGGTGGAAAACCCAGGAAGCTTTCAGATTTGGGTTTCCACAGTTTGTACCAATGTGTCTGTCTTATTAAACTGGAACTTTGATTAAAGCTATGCCTTGAATTCTGCTTTAATTCTGGATGATATTTGGAACGCTGATACTAAGTGCTGTTGCTACAGGCTTTAGAACTCTAAGTAATAGAAAGCATAGATAAGTAATAATAGATAAGATGCAGCAAATCTAAAACAAGCAAGAATAAGGAACAAGCGTACATCGTTTTTGTACAGGTAGCCCTCAATTTACAACAATTCATTTAGTGACCATTTGAAGTTACAACAGCAGTGAATAAATTAACGTACGACCATTTTTCACACTATGGCCATTGCAGCATTCCAAGGGTCACATGATCAAAATTCAGATGCTTGGCAACTGAACTCACATTTATAGCAATAGCAATAGTTAGGCTTATATACCGCTTCATAGGGCTTTCAGCCCTC